ATGTCAACAAGTCAATTCATTATCCTTCCAGTGTATTCACTCTTTAATACCATAATGTAGATCCATAGATCATCCTCATAATCATCACTGAATAAATTTTCCAACGGTTTTTATTTCATTTCCACGTTTCAACAATATTAGGAAATACGGACGTACTTGATCCATGGCTCATAACCCATAAGGACAATTCATTATGTAAGTTCAACAGTGTTTCCAAACTCATCCAATCACCTATTTAATCCTCATTCATTGAGGTTATTTAGTTCATTTAACAATCATGTCTATTTTTGTTACTTCAGAGTTTTCCAGAGTAATTCAGACGATTCTGAATTTCAAATACATGTTGTATTTCCTTTCAGTTCAATTTAGTCATATAATAAAGTCATTTTGGTATTCGTGGTTGAATTGTCTCACGAATACCCACTTATTAGTATTGTATGAGCTCTAACGTTGAGCTAAGCCAAATACTTTCATAATTATCATCGATCCAAATTTGAGAAGACGAATAAACATTCAAGTAGTATCTATATCATTCAGGTAATGATATAGCACTAGCGTTGGTTGATCACTTAAGCTGTGTTCCATAACTTTTACTGGTAGTACAACATCCATGATTATTTGGATTTCTTAATTAATCCAAGACATTTACTTATTCTAGGCCAATAGGGTATTTTGGTCATTTTAGTGCTCAATATTTTTCTATTCATTTCAAAGCTTGAGTATATCCATTCATTCCTGAGCTTGGTGACATTCTTGAGTCATTTCCATTCTAGGGGTATTTTGGTCATTTTACAAATCTAGAATATTTCAATCATTTCCTTCTGTTCGGTCTTATTATTTAATTCAAACTTATCATTTATGTTAGTCCCTTTGAACTATTCTGACAAAATATCACCATCAATAAATTATTATTCTTCACGTACTTACTCTAGTCGGAGATTTCCAAGTTAAATGCCTTCTCAGATGTTACTAACGGATTATCAGAATTTTCCATACAAAAATAGGATCTCAATAATCAAATCAGTAATTTATCGGTTTGAAAACAAATTCTTGTGTTACTTTCTCATTCAGAGTCAACTTGGACTATTTTTACCTCTCAAGGGCATTTTTGTAATTCCTTAATCAGATAATTTCGGTATTAACTCTTAACGAAAATAATTATACTTTAGAGATCCAATGGTTAATTGCTTTCTTGAGCATTCTCTGCTCTTGAAATGATTCCCTTAACAACTTCTAGTATCTTGTACAAACCACCTTGGAGTAAAAAAAAACCAAATATCCAAATTTTCTAAACAAAACTAGCATGTCTTATGCACATCTGAAATTTTATCGGATCAATATGTCTTTAAAAATCCTTTATCCAACTTCTATGGTCAAATCTTGTCTTTTTACAACACAAGGGTATTTTCATAATTTTATCCTACCAGAGTATTCTCATAATTTCTCATCCAATTACCTTTGATGAAATAAATTATATATTATAGATCTAAGTTGATTACTTTATCACTAAATACAGAACTTGTAATTTTAATTCTAACAATCAATTAATTTCTTATAAAAGTCATTTGAACCATAATCATTTACCAAATTTTTATCGTATTCGGATCGAGTGTAGAAATTAATTAACTACACATATGAGACCAATAATATCTTATTCATGTATTTACCAATATTCACATGATCCATAAAGCATAAAGAGGTAGTAAAGTATTATCTCGATTTCCGTGCAATATTGATTGACCATAAAAATTCCATTCGAACGCCTTTGATCTTCAATTCAACTTCCAATAATTCCTCATATACATATCAACATAAATTATATCAAAAACGGAGCTTAATTACGATAAACAAATCGAATCGGGTGATAAATTAGTGAAAAACAGCTTACCTGGTTCGAATTTGGCGAAACGGACTTCGGATTCAGATTCAGAACGTCGAAAGCATAAAATATGACTTTTCGAAAATTTGGAATTTTCGGTCAAAATCAAAGTCAAAGGGTTTGACCAGAAATTTCGAGGTCTTTGGGTTCGAATTTCAAAAAACGGACAGCGGAATCGGATTTGGAACATCGAATAATGTCAGGATATGTATACTCGGTCAAAGTCAAAGGTCGTTTAATGCCCGGTCAAAGCCATTCAAAGTTTTGGTCAACAGTGGTCAACGGTCAACGGGTCGGGTCAACAGATCGGGTCGGGTCAACGAGTCGGGTCGGGTTGTGACCGGTCAAACCGGTCAACTCTACTCTAAAACCGGTCAAACTGGTCATTTGGACTATCCCCACGTGCAGTGTAGGCTCGTGGGGCCCCTTCCGGCTGCCTAAAAATCATGAAAAAATTCTTAAAAATTATTTTGAGCAATTCCAAGATACTTACAAAGCTCGGTTCACAATTTTGAACGGCGGAGAGCTCGATTTCAACGTATCGGAAACTTTGACCGCTTCACCTCCTCACGCGTCGCCGTCGACGGAGACCAAGGATGACACCGGCAGACTCGGAACGGAACAAGGAACACGATGGTGCGGGAGGTGTCGTAAACGGATACTCGGATCGTCGTGAATCGACGAAAAACCAATGAAATTGAGTTATTACTGACGATATTTCCGATTGAAATTAACGATGAACGACGACTATTCACGACAAAAGCTTTGAGGGGTTTTGTTCCTCGCTCGACAACGAACACGGTGGTGGTTTCGGCTCGTCGATCGGAGGTCAGACGGCGAGTAGATCGGAGTTGAAAGGAGTGTTGTTGGAGAGGAAAATCTGGGAAATCTGCAGAAAAACATACAGGAATGGGTGTTGTAATTCATCCCAAAAGAAAAATGGTCAAAAAATGAATCTAGCCACTGAATTTCTTGCATTTCTTAAAATAGTCTGTCAACTTTGCGATTTTACAATTTAATCCACTGTTTCTTTCAAAATACCAAATTAAATCCACCACTTTATAATTTCTTAATTTTATCCCCTAAATTGGGGTGTTACAAAATGAACCTGAATTAATGCAATGTTGAATATCGTAACTTACTATTTTGAAAATCGAATGCCATCATCGTATCATTAAAATATAAAAGCTTCTCAAAGAAAGAGTCTTACGATGGGAATGAGCCAAATGATTGCAGAGGAAGGCTACACCCTACACGAAAATGATACAATTTTTAATTATTTTATTTTTTTAGGAAATTTCAATAACATTTTAAAAATAATATTTTAATTTATTAAATTAATTTTTTATTTTTTTGTTAAAATGATCATTTTGACTCTTACTTTTTTTTTGAATTAATCACTGATATGTTATCTATTAACCGACTAATTCAGATCGGGTACTGCAGAGGCGAGGGCGACCCTCCCAACCTAGTTTGCTCCATTCACAAACACCAGGATTCGAACCCATGACCTTGCTTAAGGGACCTAGTAACTCATTCCACTGGTTAACTCTTACTTTTTAAAAGTACTTTAATCATTTTTTGAATGAAAACTATTAATGGATTAATAGTTAACACTTGTTATTGATATGGTAATGATACTTATCACATATTCTTAAATGATGCCGTGATATATATGTCATATATTTTTAAGTGATTGTGTAAAAATATCACTTCAACATAAAGCACTGACCTATGGTTATCCAAGAAAGATCACATGGACCAAAATGACTTAATATAAAAATAAGTGTTCAAACCATGTCTCAAAAAACGTTTTAGTGCCTAAAGGATTTTTTGTTAAAAATAAGTGTCTAATGTTTTCAACGTTACATTTTTAGGTGCTCAGACGTTTTAGGCGACCGAGTTGAGAGCATTCTTGGAACTAGCCAACTACTACCGACGGTTCGTGAAGGGCTATTCCAAGATTGTCACACCTTTGACCGAGTTGCTCAATAAGGACAAGGTGTGGGAGTGGAGCACGGAGTGTTATAGAAGTGTTTATAGGTTGAGTCTAATTAGATTCGATTTGAATTTGTGTATAAAATCAACACACATCATATTTATTTAATCTAATTGGATCTAAGATACGTGACTCAAATTTTCTCCAATATCTTTTTGGTTCGCCCATATTATTTTTTTAAAAAATATTTTTAATTTACTAGTATTTAATAATCGTATATTTTTATTTTAATAATTTTTTAATTGGAAGGTGACGTCAAGTCAATTATTTACATACGAGTAGACCTATAATACGAAGGTCTTGATATATCTCTCGAAACAAGCGGTTGGATGTTGGATTGTACAGAGTCAAGCAATGAAACTCGATAGGGGTTAAGAATGAGCATTTTCGTTAGTCAATCAACCATCATGTGGCATTCTCGTGGGATCCAAAGAAGCTCTATAAACCAAACTTGATTTCATAGACCAGACTTAATTTTTACATGATATAAATTATATAATATATTAAAACAAAATAATAAATATATCATAAAGATGAAATTCCAGAAACAGTAAATATATTAAAATAAAAACATATCTGGTTAGTTAAACAGTTGGTACTATGTATCAAACTTAAGTCATTACTCAATAAAATTTCAGAAACAATTTCTTTTGTTCTTCCTAAATTCCCTTTTTATTTATTTGTATAGTTTTCCTTTCAATCAAACATTTATTCCAGGAAATCTAATAATTGCAAAAGGGAACTTTGAGGAAATCTAATATTCTACAAAGCGCAAAAGAAAAAAAAAATAGCCCACGAATTAGGCTTATGTGCTTTAAATTAGCAGCAAAAGTTGAGTTTAAAAGGAAAAGCCCAATGTGATCTTCATCGTGAACTGCAGTAAGCTAAAAACCAGACGATGTGGATGAATAAAAAGAGATCTGTTCTTGCCTTCAGAACGATTCATCAAAAATGCTACATTTGAAGAAGGCCACACACTCGTCGCTTAATGTATATTCTTTACATAGTCAAGAGCAAAGCAAATCCACTATTAATTTTAAAAAAGAACAAAAAACCCTTAGCAAAATCAAATTGGCATAATTGCTTGAGATCACAAGGACCCTACCCATATAGGACTGGTTAGGACTTTGGGACTAGCCTAACTACCATATCAAATCTTCTCTCTCAAGTTATATGCTCAAATATTCGACAAAGAAAAATTCCTTTTCTTTTACATACACTTAGTAGGATGATGGAAGCACAACTTTTTTTTTCTGGTTTAAAAGCTGTGTTGGGATGAATGATTGGGGCACTAGCAGGCGCATCCTCCGGACTCTTGCGGCAACTGAGGTGCATTTGTGTTGCTTGACTTAAGATTGACATCCACCATGTCTTCTTGCTTTGTCGAAGAAAGTGTTTTCATTCCAGGTAATGCAGCTGCTATCTTCCGAAATAGAACCTGTAAGGTGATCAACAAAGAGTGATAGCCCCCAATATATTGCCCAAACTAATGTCAGCTGATGGTGCATCCATTAAATATGAAAATTTGATCAAACCATCACTCCACAATATTATCCCAAAACACACAACCCGTAGGATTCATATGGATCCTAAGCACGACAATTTTTATCAGCAACAGATACAATCGATGTATAGGTTACCACTTTACCTTGATGTTGAAGCCAGCTTTGGCACTAGCTTCAATAAACATAACATTGATCTCACGAGCCTTGGCTTCTCCTTCCGCTACCGAAACTTGCCTGTCAAATCAGTCATGAAATAAACACAAATCAAACAACGACAGATCCGAGAGAAATTATGTCTCAACAAGTTCCCTACTTCAACTTTACCGTAAAGTAACAATCAAAAACTAATAATGCTGATAGAATTGTAAAGTAGAAAGAAAGGCAAACAATCATTTTCTTTTTCGTCAACAATAAATCTGGTCACCAACGATAATAAATTAACGTCACCTTTTGTCCACAAGATCTGTTTTGTTCCCAACAAGCATAATGATTACATCACTTCCCCGTTCGGCACGCACTTCTTCAATCCAATTTGATGTATTCAGGAAGGACTGTCTGCCTACAATATCAAAACTAAAGTTGTTTTACGAAGCAAACGAATCTGCGAGATTTCATTTTACAATTTGACAATGCATTACCCACACAAACATGCATAAAACCTGGTAATCGATCAAGAAAATATATGATGAGATAGCAGAAAACACAGAGAAAAGATGACACACTTGCTACATCATAGACAATGACTGCCACCGAGGAATCCCTAATGTAACTTGGAATAAGACTCCTGAATCTTTCCTGTCCTGCAGTATCCCTGCAATAAATATTAAGCATGTAAAGATCAAAGATTCCACTCTTTTCAAATATCACACAGCCCCACAAACATTGGAAACCAACTTTTTCCGATCAACACTAAAACTAGTGCAGCCTTAAGTAGTAATAATTAATTACATTACATGCTAAATATAAGTTTAAGAAAAAGAATTATCTACCAACGCTGGCATCCCACTAAACCAACTACATAAAAAAGCAAGATCCGGAGGAGTATAATAAACATACAAGGAACCAGAATCTACACCGGGTATAAATTAGCAGACTAAGTTAGAAATGCCCATAAAAGTTGAGAATAGAATAGCTTAAAATGAAGAATGACAAACAATCGATGTCTTACCAAAGCTGCAATCGAACTGTTCGATCTTCTAGGTACATTGTTTTCGATAGAAAGTCAATACCTATGGTTGCCTGGTTAACGAATGAGAAACAAATTTCAGAAATGAGAGCAAACAAGATCTGGAAGAAGCATGGAACTTAAGCAAACTAAACATAATCTAAATGCCAACCAAGAAAAGGTATCAGATCCAACCAAGGTGTTAAGAAAGTTCAAAATTGAGACCCAAGAAGATCGTAAATTGACATGAAAGAGTATAATGAAAATACCTGGTAATTGTTATCGAATTTATCATACATGAAGCGACTGATGATACTGGTCTTCCCCACAGATTGATCACCCAAGAAAACCAGCTTGTATTTCGCCAGAGCTGAAACTGGAGCCATGGTGATTGAGAGAGATGTGAGAATGATTTCCAGACAAAACGATTATTTATTTACACATTTTTTTAACTGTTTAATTGGTCCATTATTATTATTTTGAGTGAATTTTTTATCTAATATAAATTTAAGGGTAAATTACGTTTTGGATATTATTTAAATTTAGGCGCTATATCTTTCATCTTATTAATCATTTAATTATTTTAATTATAACATAAAATTTTAAATATATTTAATTTTTTCTTATAAAAAACGAGATAATTCTGAATATCACAATAACGTGATCAAATGAATTAATTAAAATTTTAATATTATAAATAATACCAAATCTAGAATTAAATAATATTTAACATTAATTTACCTTAAATCTAATTATTAATTTATTATCCATAACTAATTGTAAAGTATAATTTATATTGGGAAGGCAAAGAAATGGACAATTTGCTGGGCCACTGGAATTTGGAAGCATTTCAACAGAAACAAACAATGAAAAACGCCCTTAAACCCTTTCTCACCTTGAAAAGATAACCCTCCCTAAAAACTCCAAACAACTAAGGAAAACCCCTCAAGGTGAAGCGCAAACTGTAGCAAAAATGGCGAACGTGAAGTCGGATATAGACTGTGCATTTTGGGATCAGAACATATCCACACCACAGACTTTGGAAGGCTCCGCCAAGTCAGTTCCAGGTGAGCCATTTCCGTTGGATGGAGCTCGAGCCAGCAAGGCCCTGCGAATTCAGCAGCTCTCACTTCTCAGAAATGGTTTCCCTTTGGGTATCATTCCTTCTATGTGTCCTCCCTCGCACAAAGACTTGGGTTTTTTCTCTCTCCACTCTCTCTTGCTCAGGCCTTCCAGTTCTAACCGGTATTCTTCGCTCTATTTTATCTAGAAAAGAGGAGAATTTTAGGTGTTGTTGCAAAAATCGACGAAATTGGTTCATATTCAAATTTGAGCATATTTTTCTTCTAATATTTCATTGAAGAAATGAAAATAGGAGCTTAAGATTGATTTAGTTGCATAAAGCAATTCTTTTACTACAAACCGGTCACTTAATTCTCAAATGCTTTGATTTTTTTTATAGTTTTTTGCTCCTGTAGGTGGATTGGATTAATTGGTCAGTTTAAGCCAAAGAAACTGATCTCTGCTATTAAAACGGAACTCCATAGTGCTGATGAGTTGGAGCTCCCTGTTTTTGGGGATGCAGCCATGCATTTTCTTGACAAGTCTCTGTATTCAATTGCATTAGCCACACGGCTTTCCTTGTCTCCTACATCCTTATTGTGGAACACAGAGCGGCAGGGGGGGAGAAAGGTTATCTCAACAAGTTTAAGATCTATCAGCAGGCAAGCGGTTCAACTCCATTCACCTTAATATATCTTGCACACATTCATACTTCTTTTGTTTTAATGAGAGATGATGGGTACTAAAAGTTAACTCTGCCAAGTTTCAAGGTAATGCAAAATTGCAGGCTACAAGTGTACAGGAATATCAGTTATATGAAAAAGGATAAAGGTGTTTGTACTGGAGGGACACTTCTATCTTTCAGTGTCTTGTCTCATGTATGAAGTATAATTTCAATTTTTCTTTATTAGATTTATTTTAGACTTTTAATTGGGTGAATTTAAGTGTTATATAGGTAATAGCGTGGGCAACTATTTAACAAGTATTAGTGCCCAGATACAAAATTTTGAATCCAAACTCTTGTTGCTTTGTTTGTGTTCAAATTCAAAACCCCAAATAAGAAGTTTAGCAACTTGAATTTTCAAGCCTACTTCTGTTCAGAAGCACAAAGTTTGATGCTTGTTATGTATGTAGCTGTGGTATTTATAATTACTTTGTCTCCTAATGTCAGTCATTCTTGTTTCATAATGGTGAGTGAGAGTTTTTTTTTCTTCTTTAAATTATGTTTACGGCATCACTTGTATTTACAGCTTCCTGATCATGATATCACATTGGATGCTGCATGGCCTTGGCTTTACATGGACCATAAAGGAAAATATTGGGAGGTTCCATCAATATCCTTAGGACTTGTCTTCTCTTTCTTCTGACTCAGGGTTTCTATATTGTTTTGGTCTGCACAAAAACAATGGCCATCCCCTGGCTTTCAATGAACTTGATGGTGAGGCACCTCCTGCCTTGATGCCAGGATTATGCGCAAAGGTTGCATTTTCTTATCAGAAGAGCAAGGATATTTGGAGGCGAAAAGAGACAAAAGAGGATCTCATCGTAAAGACAGACAAAGGTTCATTTTGGCGACCGTCATATGATGTGCGTCTTAAAGAACCTCATGCTGCGATATCTGGAATTACAGGTATGTTTTCTGTTTTGCAGGGTATGAATTAGTTGTCTTGCTTGACTTTTCCCTAACTTCCTCTGTGGTGACCTTGTAAATTTTTGCACCCAATATGGTAAGACTAGTCTAGCACCAATACTACCATTTTATGGTACCCTCTGCTATTATTTCATATTATATTTTAGATTATTCTATCAGACTAGATCCATGAAGGAAATTGTTAATATTAATCTTGTTTGCTTGTGGGAAGGGTTAACAGTATTGAGAAACAAGTTATTCACACTAGTGATACCCAAAAGTTTCATTTGTTTGCGCCTTTTGCTTTGTTTTGGAGAAGGTTTCCTATCCAAATTATACTTTTCTTGTTTCTTAATCACATTCTAGGAGGCACGTGTGCGGTCTGGTTTGGGAAAGACTCCAGTATTGAATCACAAAGAGAGGATACAATACCTACAAGCAATAATAAGAGAAGCCCTTTGAATGCGGATTTATTTGGTTCAGTTTGCTATACTTTTCAGCATGGACAGTTTCATAAGCGATATGGTGATCTAACTCGAGTTGATGCTTGTTTGGACATATTTTCACTCTCATCATTTGCCAAAAGAGTTTTCAAAGGTTCTTCTAGTGCAGACAAATCTCAATTATCTCCCAGACTAAATTTGATCTTTCAACAGCAGGTAATTTTGTCCATCCCTCTGCTTGATTGTTTCTTTATTTTATTGTGTTTTATTTTTTACTGGGAACACATCGGTTAGATAGATGGTGAATTTTTTTTATCTTTATTTGTCACATGTCTCCTGCATGTTTTATGGAGTTATTGATGAAAAAGCCGGAGAGAATGCATTAGCACACATTAACCTAGTTGGTGTCAATTGAGAGATATATAAGGAGGAGGATTTAGATGCAAGTTTGCTGGGAAACTGTTGAAACCATTATTGAATTCTGGTAGTTACTGCATATAAATTTCACATGGCATAGGTGAGAAATATTTACAATTTGGGATGCAGGTTGAGGGCCAATAGTGTTTCGAGTGGATTCAAAGTTGTTGCTTGATTCTAAGGATGAGAAACGAGGCCCTCATATTGAAGATGTCATATACAGTCTGTGCTACTCATTGAGGCTTCTGCGTTCTGGAAAAGTTGTTGCTTGGTATTCTCCAAAGAGAAAGGAAGGGATGATAGAATTGCGCCTTTTTGAATTCTAAATCATGTTGTGTCATCTTTAGTTTCCTATGATTGTTTCTGTTCAGAACACAAACTATCTTGTGGGGGCAAATACTTTAACATAAGCAAATTTCTTCATCTGATTAGTAGAGTATGAGATTGTTGTGAAGTATTGCAGCTGAAATACCATCTTTATTGCCCTTTTTTTTAATAAACACGACTAAAACCTTTTTTTGTGTGTGTGCGTGTGTGTTTGTGGTTTTGGGGGGGGGGGGGGGGTTGGCGTTCAAAATAAGAGCATTCATAGCAATAAGATACTGTTCGATACATAGCCATTTGCTTCAGCCTATATCGAAGGTTTAGGGCAAGCAGGAGGATGTTGATGAATAGAAAACATAGTACTAAGACACGACCAAAACTAAATTTTTATATATCCACCACAATGTTTGAGGAGCAAAACAATTGTTAAGGCTGTCCGCCTCCAGCCCTCCACTCCACATTAAATTTGTCTCCCTGGTTTTTCTTGTCGCCATTGGTTGCTTGCCTCGGGTGCTCGTCTTCTCTGCTTCTCCCTTCTTTTTACCATTTTTCAAGCAAATTATTTTTGTTAAATTAATTCCCATGGCAGCGGCCCAAGCCCATAAGAGAACAGATATATATATATATATATATATATATATATATATATATAAAAGGTCATTTTCAATCCTTGTTTTATGAGTTAGCAAGTAGAGCATATAATTTATCAATTGTGTGTTTGGTGTACAAGTAGGAAGGAGAAGGCGTTTTACATGCAAGAAAAGTGGGGTTTTTGTTTTGCATCAAAATCTGCTGAGTTTGCAGATGTAAAAAGGTTCACTTTGTTCTTTGTTATCCCTAGTTTCTTTCTCTGTATTGATGGAGAAATGTAGTTTCCAGTCGAGTCATTTGTTTTGTTGGTACTAAGGTTTTGACTTTGGGTTCCAGACATGAGTCAAGTCTCAAAGTAACCTTGTTCGTTTTGTTTGCTAATGAGATTGTTGAGGCTTGCAAGGTTCCGCAGGCTTACATGCCTTTTGGTATTGGGGCAATGGCAGAACTAAAGGTGGCTCTATCTCTGCTTTTATCCAAGTTTTGCTTCTCCCCATCACCAGCATACCTTCACTGTCATGCATTTAGGTGGTTATACAGCCTCAACACGGGTCTGTCTCTATGTAAAATGGGTTTGACTTTGAGAGATAATTCCAAGGTTTTGGATCGTCAACATGTAAAATAAAAAATATTTTCGAAAACCAAATAAAATCCTATCGTCTTGACCTATTGGCCAAGCCTGTTGGCCCGAGTCAACAATGTATGACTAAAACCTATCTATATGTGGAAAGAAGCAAAAGGGATGTTCTGCCTGGTTTCGCTCAAAGATTGCATTGCATTCAAAATTCATGAATTTACAACATTGTAAGGTTGGTTTGAACAAACTCTCAACTGTAAATAATGTACCGATTTAGTGGGATAAATGAATCAAGAATGGACAATGAAAGCAGATCAAAGAGACATCAGAAAGATGACTTGTAAGGTACTGAATAAAAACTTGGCCAATGCTCGTTGCAACTGAGGTTGTAATGAAATAACTAGCGTTTATTATTGAGTTCTGCTGTTACCGATGCATATCAGAAATCAATTGTTATCCATCTGAATAAGAATTGGTTATTCATTTGGAAGGGAAGAAACTAAAGAAACGATTTACAATACTTTGCACACTCTACTTCTACGGAAACTCAAGATGTATGCCATAGCTAAGTCAAAGACAGTCGCTATTATTCCACACAAATAGAAAACATTCTTAAAATATTTCTATGCTCCATAACATAGTCACCCATTATACAGATTTTGAGTCCAGTATCAGTTAACCCTATTAACTCGTAACTTCACCTTCATGAACATGGAAGAAAATCTCAAGAGGGATTTCAGGAGAACAAAGACCGATTCTTGTTACGTTCCAAACGAGCCTCCCTCTGGCAAATGTAAGAAAAAAATAACTGTAATGTTCAAATGCATCGTAGCCAATTGCAGCTTGCTCAAGCATGCAAAGATAAAAGCTATTGGCAAAACAAATGGGGATAAAAATGAGAAAGAAAAGGAATACCTCCTTTTTCTTGCATTCCTTGTAAACATCAAAATGTTCTTGGCATTTACTCTTGTCAGAGCCGTATTCTTCCAGACCTGAAGACCGACGCTTGAAGATTGAAATTTTGGCCAAATGCGATAACGATGTATTTATTTCAAATGAAAAAGGTTAGGAAATTGAAGGGAATTGTTTAAGGATAACAAATAATCACATTTCGTTTGAAGCACCATAGTTTTTTCTTCCTTACTCTGCGGAAGTGATCCAATAAGTTATAAATACTATATTAAAGCAACCAACCTACTCATCAATAGGTAAAAAACATTATCAGGTAAAAACGTGGGAAGGTGATACTGATATTCATGTTTCAAGCCAAAAGCCATGCCGGCTGATAAAATGCCAGACTTTTTGTTTCACTGAACGGGGCAGAATCCTTAACAGCCTCAAATACAAAAAAGGGGGTAACCATGTTTTATGCATATGTGCGTTGCTTACAAATAGGTGTTGTCGTAACTCTTGAAGGACAGACAAGAATTAACCTGGTTACAGTACATATCAAAATATCTTCTTCTTTTTCTCATTCCGGTTAATGTAAATCAAGTAGTAACATCCCTGTTCCACTCACGTAACCTGCCACAATGGTATATGTAGAGGGGAAAATGCCACAACTACTAATTTTAATTGAAAGACAAATTGGTTATTTTTATTAAGTCAATACAGGACAATATTACGATTCAAGCAAGTGAAAATTCGGGGCCTTTTTTTCTCATTTCTATTTCTCTATTAGCTAACTAATGACTCAAATTAATAAATAACGAATTCTTTGATGAGATAATGGGGAAATAGAGATTTTGTTAATGGAGTCCAAGACTTAAGAGAATCAGCTTACATTTAAGAGAGGCCGTGTATTGTGGGAAGCATGGGGAATCGGCGATCCTGGCCGCACTCGGGTAAGGCGGCGTTGCAGCTCTTGACGTCATTGTCTCTTCTCTCACTATTTTCCTGGGAAACAAACAAGTTGGATGAAACCATTGTTTCGTCAGGCTTTAAGGAAGTATTCCTTGCACAAATGGGCCGGATCATTTTCATCTCAAATCCAATCCTAACCTTTTTGGGTCTAAATATTGCATTCTTATTGGGACTTTTTGTGTGGATTTGATTCAAAAAGAATTATTATTGAGTAATAATATTTTCAGACAAAAATTTAACGTTTGATTTGAAAATCTTCTCATGAGTAATAATTTTTATTAACATAACTACTTTCCTTTAAATGATGAGAATATCAGTCTCACTAATCTTTTTAGTTATTATATAATTTTAATCTTTTTAGTATTATATTGCGCTTGGAAAAAAAACAAGAGTTTTATTCGTTTAAATTTGTTATTATATTTTTTAACTAAATAATTAATTATTTAAAATATAAATTTATTAAATATTTTTATTTTGTATATTTAACTAATATTTTAATACTTAATATATTTATATTACTGTAATGTTGATGGTTTTTTTAAAAGTCATATGGTAGGGTTGCATGTTGATTCTAAGCGAATGAGTTAGAAGCTAATGTGATTAATTTTAGATGTAATATTAACTCTCATTTCTAACGTTTCGTTCCGAAGGTCTATATTTTTAAAAAAAATATTTTAACACTTACAGTTTCATTTTAAATCAAAATATCCTTATTTAAATGAAAAATGTTAATAACGTTCAATGGTGATTGTTGAGGTGTATGTCTTATACAACTAAAGTATTGATGTGACACTAATATATGTACATATTTGATTATATGACACATGCCATGTGTTTAAAGTGTTAAAGTATTGATGTGATATTGATATATGTACATAACTAATTGTATGACACATATAATGTGTCTAGAGTGATGATATGTCATAAGATAGTAATAAAATATATTTTTTAAAATAATAATAAAATATATATTTTAAAGTTAAGATAAGAATAAATAATATATTTTTAAGTTAAAATAAGAATAATATACATTTTTTAAGTTAATATACGAATAAAATATATTTAGTAAGTTACGTAAAAAATAAAATATATACTTTTTGAATAGTCTAAACTGATTATAAGGTAATATTTGTTCATGATCTTTCTTAACAATTGACAATACACACACTCTACAGACACATCTGCTTGAGCGTAAGACCTCAAGGGAGAACGACATTGTCTTTAATCACTGAGGTCACTCAATGAGCTCAATAAATATGTTTTTAAAGTTAATATATAAATTTAAGATATATAAAATCTTATGAATATAATTTTAAATATTAATATACATGATATATTTATTAATTATAAACCATCCAATGTTGTTAATTAATGACTAGATTGACATTATTTTTTAATAATATCGGGCGACTTGATTGACATTATTTTTTAATAATATTGAGTGATTACGATGTAGTATTTGTTTAGAACATTTTTTGTAACACATACTTTACAGACACAACTGTTCGAAATTAAGACCTCTAAGGAGAACAATATTATATTTGATCATTGAGGCCACCTAATCAATTTGATTGATAAAATTAAAAAAAATTAAAATTCATAATTAAATGGTTAAAGGTTAGTTTACATTAAATATATATATATATATATATGAAAACCAACAATTTTTGGAAGAAGAAATGGAAGACCATACACCCGACCATAAATGTCAAGAGAAGGACAACCCGGACGGAACTTTTAATTAAGCCGAACCTCCACTTCCGTTGGGCAGCACAATTTAAATTTGGAGGTTCCAATCGCAGTTGAAGATGTAATGATTTTAGGATTTCACATTGAAATATGGGTTATTGCTATTTAGAGATATAGTTATCTTTATGGGTTTCAAATAAAAAAGATAATATATATATATGCCACATATACAGTGACCTAATTCCAAGTCAACAGTTAGTGGTGATAAACTATATCTCTGAAAGTTGGCGTGATAAAAGGGTCAAATAAAAAAGCTGTGAGTCAACTCGTCTATAGTAATTTTGTCTCAAATTATGGCCAGGGATCATTCAAAGAATTCTCGGCCGGGCGGGCAGCAATGTAAGCGTTTTCTCCTCCTAGTATGGCCTTTTCTCCGTTATGACAAAGCCACCAACTGTCCGGCTTTAATGGTATGCATGTTTGTATTACAGATTGTGGATGAGCTAGAATTGGCACCGAACCAAGCTTCCATGCCAAACAAGACGGTTATTGAATAAAGAATAACTGTTGCTAAAAAGGCAACGATGCTGGATATCTTTTCTTATTGGCTAGGAGAAGATACTAGTCACTGCTCCGCCATCTTCTTCTTATTGCTCAACGCTGTCAATTTCAGCGCTTGCACTGTTACAGATTGGTGAGGGAGGAAAGGTTTACGTGTCAGAGGACTTCCTTAAGATGATGTGGAGAACAACTCAATTTCTTGTGGACGTCCTCCACCGCCGCTATAACTTCATATTTACGGTACGCAAGGATAAACCATTGATATAATAAATGTTAAAAGTCAAATAATTTAGGCACCAAATGATGCTTTGTCAAAATAAAAATTTAGGCACCTAATTTTTGATGAAATTAGGTAATGGGATAATTAATTTTAGTCATTGTAATTTAGGGTATTTATAAGATTAGTCCTTAAGTTTCAACTATAAATACCCTAGCTCATTTAGCTTCAAAATCATCCCAAAACATTCTAGCTTTCTTTCAATACTAGAGAAATTTTAGAGAGTTTCTTGAGAGTTGTTTTCTCCTTTTTATTTAGAGAGAATTATCATTGTTTTCTCCTTGGTAGATCGAGAGAGGTTGTAATTCCTATTTTCTCATAGTGAAATTCTTCTACCGTTGCCCGTGGTTTTTACCCTAAATTTTTAGGGGTTTTCCACGTAAATTTTGTGTCTCTTTTATCTTCATTTTTATTTTCTCAAATTATTAGTTGCGATTTTGCTCTATCCGATAGCCGTCTTCCGCAACAATTAGTATCCGAGCCAGATTTGAGTGTGTAATATCTGCTTATTGTCTTTGTGGTTGCCACCAAAAGGTGGATCATCCAACATAAGAAAATAAGAAGGTATTACCCATTCTTTGAGGTTCTAGAGAACTATTCACGATAGTGAAATAGTGGGAGCTATAATTAATAGAAGCTATGGCAACGAAATTTGATATTGAAAAATTCAATGGGAGAAATTTCTCATTGTGGAAATTGAAGATGAAGGTCATCCTGAGGAAAGACGGTTGTCTAGCAACTATCAGTGAAAGGCCAGTGGATTTCACAGATGACAACAAATGGATCGAAATGGACGGGAATGCTATGTCAAACTTTCATCTAGCATTAGCAGATGAAGTATTGTCAAGCATCGAGGAGAAGAAGACAGCTAAGGAGATATGAGACTATCTCACCAAATTGTACGAGGCCACATCGCTGCACAATAAAATTTTCCTTAAGAGAAAATTGTACACTCTCCGTATGCCAGAATATACTTCAGTGACGGAGCACTTAAATACACTGAATACTTTATTTTCTCAGCTTACATCCTTAAGCTGTAAAATAGGAGAACAAGAACGTGCTGAACTTCTATTTCAAAGTCTACCGGATTCGTATGATCAACTCATCATCAACTTGACAAACAATAATGTCACTAGTCTAGTCTTTGATGATATTGCAGCTGCTGTTCTACAAGAAGAAAATCGGCGCAAGAACAAGGAAGACAGACAAGTAAATCTGCAACAAGCAGAAGCGTTGACAACGATGACAACGATGAGAGGGAGATCAACAGAATGTGGCCAAAGCAGCAGTCACAAACATGGTAGATCGAAGTCGAGGAGCAAGAAGAATTTAAAGTGTTACAACTGTGGAAAGAAGGATCATTTGAAGAAGGATTGTTGGAGTCTAAATAAAAACTCCAATCCACAAGGCAATACCGCAAACACTTCAGATGATGGAGATGCTCTATGCTGTGAAGCGTCAACCACCGTGGAAGGAAGAAAATGATTTGCAGATATATGGCTCATTGATTCGGGAGAAACATATCACATGACCTCAAGAAGAGAATGGTTCCATCATTATGAACCTGTCTCAGGAGGATCTGTGTATAGTTGCAATGATCATGCCTTAGAAATCATTGGCGTGGGAACCATCAAATTGAAGATGTATGATGGAACAATTAAAGTTGTTCAAGATGTGCGGCACGTGAAAGGTCTGAAGAAAAATTTATTATCCTACGGATTGTTGGATAATAATGCAAGAAAGAATGAAACACGGAAATGAATCATGAAGGTGTTCCGTGGAGCGCTTGTGGTGCTGAAAGGTGAAAAGATAGCTGCAAACTTTTACATGCTGAAGGGAGAGACTTTGGTAGAAGCAGAACCCTCTGTTGCCTCATGTAGTTCAGATTCGGCAATATTATGGCATCAGAAACTTGGACACATGTCAGAACAAGGAATGAAAGTCCTTGTGGAGCAAAAGATACTTCTAGGCTTAACAAATGTATTACTTCCTTTGTGTGAGCATTGCATAACAAGTAAGCAACACCGGTTGAAATTCAACACATCAAATTCTAGAGGCAAAAGTGTTCTAGAATTGGTTCACTCTGACGTATGGCAAGCACCAGTTACATCCCTAGGTGGAGCAAAATACTTTGTCTCATTTATTGATGACTACTCCAGGAGATGTTGGGTGTACCCTATTAAGAAGAAGTCAGATGTGTTTTCCACTTTCAAAAACTTCAAAGCGCGGGTGGAACTTGATTCTGGAAATAAGATCAAGTGTTTCAGAACAGATAATGGAGGTGAATACACAAGTGAAGAATTTGATAACTTTTGTAGAAAAGAAGGCATCAAAAGACAGTTCACAGTGGCAAACACTCCTCAAAAAAATGGAGTGGCAGAGCGGATGAACAGAACCTTGTTAGAAAGAACAAGAGCAATGTTGAGGTATGCAGGCTTAGAAAAATCATTCTGGGCAGAAGCAGTCAATACCGCCTGTTATTTGGTGAATCGAGCTCCATCAACTGCAATAGAGCTGAAGACACCAATGGAGATGTGGACTGAAAAAC